AAGGAACAATATCTTGAGTTAGCTAAACAGGAGAGGGAGAACCACGAAAAGACGAATCCAGACTATCTAAACTCAAAACGTAAGCCCAGAAAAGCAAAATCGCCAGCTCCTACCAATAATAACATCAACAATAATAACAATAGTAACAATAACAACGATAGCAACAATAACAACAATGGCAACAATAACATTAATAATAATAACAATCATAACAATAACAATAACAATAACAACAACAGTAATAATAATAATGTCGTTGCTGCTGTTGCGTCTAGTATTTCTAATTCTGGAATTTCTCCTCAACAAAAATCTTCCAATATTGCACCTCTTTCATTACCTATCACCAATCAACAAAGTCCAAATATACCTATGGTAATTTATTTATAAAATCATGAGATTTTGTTTTGATTTATTTTATTTGTATTGTATAATATAATTAATTAATAATTAAATTAATAATAGGCACAACAATCTATACAGATACCACAAAGGTCACAACAAATCGTGTCAACAATTCCTAATACATCATCCATTAATATTAACACTAATAATAGCAGTAACAATCTTAATAGTGGTGTTACTAATATTAATAATAATAATAATAATAATAATAATAATAATAATAATAACAGCAGTAACAATATTAGCAATAATATTGGTAGTGGTAATACTGATAATAGTGACAAATCAAAGGATTCTAAAAGGAAGCGACCAGCAAATGCCTTTTTATTGTATAATAGAGAGATGCGATCAAAAGTATTAGAAAAGAATCCTGGTATGGATGTTGGTAATATTTCTAAAGCGATCGGTAAAGGTTGGCACTCTTTAACAGATGTATGTTTATCATTGTCATTATCATCAGTTATTATTAGAATTTATTGTCGATGTTTTGATATTATATAATAATAATTAATTTTTGTTCCATTTAGGCCGAAAAAGAAGCATATTTACTACGAGCTAGAGAACTCAAAAAAGAATTTCACGAAACACACCCTGACTTTGTATACACTAGACGTTCTAAAGCCGAACTCATTGCAGCAGGTCATCATAGTTATGCTAAAAAACGACAAATTACCGAGTCTGATGATGGTTACGAGGCTGACGATCAATCAAACTCCAACAACAATAATACTAATGAAAATACAAAGCCACAGAAAGACCCTCGTGGTCGTAAGAAGAAACGTGTTCTTCATCCTAAGGCTCCGAAACATCCCTCTTCCGCATTTTTATTCTATACATCTGCAGTTCGTCGTCAAGTTGCTGAAGCTCATCCTGGAAGCACTGTTGGCCCATTGTCAAAAATCATGGCAGGTAAATGGAAGGCCCTTACTGATGCAGAACGTGAACCTTTTCAAAAGTTGGCAAATGATGACAAAGCTAGGTACGCTCGTGAAATGGAAGAGTATTTACAACAACCAAAAGATTCTTAATTGAATGATTGAATGATTATAGATAGTGGATTAATTAAGTTATTGGAGGAGATTAATTGATTAGTTGGGATTTTTTATTTTTATTAATTAGTTTTTAAATAAGAATATGATTATCATGAAGAGATTTATAATAATAATAATAACAATAAATAAAATATAATAAAATAATTTGTATATATAAAAAAAAAAAATAAAAATAAATATTAAAAAATTTTTTTTTCTACAAGTATTCAAGTTAAATACGACCTAATTAGTTTTTGGTTTCTAATGTGTACTAACTTTAATTCAGTGCGTGTCGATTGAACAGATTTTCGTCAGTTTTAGTTCTATGCATGCCATCATCTA